GTGGCGACTGAGAGGAATCTGGAACAGAAGGTAGCAGAGCTTAGAATGGAGGTGATGCAAGGCCTTGGTAACAAAGAGAAGCGAGCGGAACGGCTAGTAGCAGAAACACAACTATCGAATTACCGGGAGGGTACCAGGGTGAGACTGCAAACAATGGCGGGGATGAGGACAGAGCCGCAAGGGGGGATTCCGTCGTGTAACCTCTCAGAGAAGATCAAGTGTCCGAAGGCGCGCATGGTGATTGACAAGGTGGTGCAGGACGGGAGGGATTACTCCAAGCCCAAGGAGGTTCTTGTGGCGGCGACGAGTTACTTCACCAAGGCCTTCTGAGGATTACCGTCGGCAGGGGAGACGCTGCACTGGGAGCCGGACCTGGACAAAAAAGCTGGGAGCTGAGGAGGCTAGTAGAGAGAAGAGGAGATCAGGAGAGCGATATTAGAGTTGGCGGTAGGGAAGACTCCTGGTCACGATGGACTCCCAAAAGAGTATTTCGAGGCACAGTGGGACCTGCTGGGGGATCTTGTGATGGAGGTGGTCAGGAGATTGTAAAGCGCGGTGAAAATGGCGGTGACGGTGCTACTGCACTAGAAAGGGGAGACGGATAACCTGCAAAATTATCGGCCAATATTGTTGCTGAACACTATCTATAAGATCATCGCGAAGGTACTGGCAAATCGAATCAGACCGCTCCAAAGGGTGAGTTCAGATGGACAGCACGGATTCATACCTGTCAGGAAGCTGGCGGACGTGGTAGCGGTGGTGGCGGACGTTATTGATGCTGCAAAGAAAGGGAGTGAAAACTGGCTGCTGCTCTTGGTGGACTTCAGGAAGGCCTATGACTCAGTATCCAAGTGCTTCCTGTTTGGGCACATGAGGAGGATGGGGTTCCAGAGCAGGCTGGTGGAGTGGGTGGAGGGCCTGCACATGGGAGCGACAACAGAAATCAGTCTGAATGGGTTCCTGGGAGAATCTGTCGAGATGGAAATCAGGGTCAAGCAAGGGTGTCTGTTGACGCCTTACCTTTTCTTGTGTGTTGTGGAGCCACTGTGCCAAGAGGCTTATAGGAGGAAGTTGGGGATTGGGAAGAGAGGAGTGGGGAGGTTGGCGTACCTGGGGTATGCGGATGACACTACACTGCTACTGAAAGGAAGAGGGCAGCTAGTAATGACGGAGGGGCTTTTGAAGGAGTTTGCAGTCATGTCCGGCCTTCATACCAACTGGGATAAGTCTGTAGTGTTTCCCTTGGGGAAGCACCGTAGTGGCATACCTCCAGCGGGGCAGTCCTTCAAGTGGGCCAAAGGGGGAGAACCGGAACGTCTGCTGGGGGTATGGATCACACCTAATGGAGATCTCCATCCCTCATGGGAGAAAGCGTTGGACAAGATGAGAGGGGTCCTAAAGAGGTGGGATTCACAACACCTGATAACTTCGGCAAGGGTCACAATAACATACAGTTACGTGATGCCTATCGCGTTGTTCCAAGCCCAGGTGTATCCGCCGCCGACTGAGATATGGAAGCAGATTCGAAAATTGATTCACAATTTCGTGTCCGAAGGGAGAGCGTCGCTGGACCAGCAGTTCATACTCTGGAGCTACTACCTCATGTGCCTGCCAAGGAGGGAGGGCGGACTAGGAGTGATTGATCCAAGTGTGAGATTATTCAGCATGGTGCTCCGCACGGTAGGAGTGCTGGTACACGAGGAGAACCTGACGAGTGTCGAACATGGGTCTCGAATGTCGAACAAAATGCGGAGGTCCCTCGGGATGAGCCCGATGGACCGTGCATAACCGACCAGCATCTCTGTCGCCATGCAGCTAAGATGCCGGCGATTACGCGAATCTTGAACTGGCTGCGAAATTTCCAGGGCATAAAGATACCATGCGCTGCTTGCGGGAGTTCCCAGAGGTTCCAAAGCGAGGGGGTCCTCGCCACAAGGGTCGCATATCTCATCGTCGCTGTCACATGTGACGAACTGGACCGCATCCATGCGGTCCTCGTCGGCCCATGGCAGCCGTGCCAAATTCTCCGCGACTGCTGTAAACTCTAGCGGCAAATTATGTTCCTGCTCAGCGTCTGTGGTGCTGACTAGGGGGAGTCTCGCGAGCCAGCTAGCAGGGAGGATACCCATCCGCCACCAGCACTTCTGGACGGTCTCGGGCTCGATCGAGAACCACGCGTCCGACAGTCATGTTACGACCAGCACGGTGTCGTGCTTGTAGTGCAACAACATTCCCTCGCTATGAAATTCATCCCATTCGCGGAACATGTCGAGGGTATGGTACGTCCTGTACCGAGCCTTCACCGTCGCGATGAGCCCCTGGTCCAGCGGTTGCGTGAAGCAGGTAGTGTTTGGAGGGAGAAACACAAGACGAACGTTGCTAAGCGCGCGTGTTCGGAAGCCGAGGATGTCAGCCGACGTGGCGAGCGGAGACACGAGGTTGTGGCAGCTAGCGTTGTCCAGCAGGATGACGATGCTGCGGCCCTCGGCGAAACAGCACGCGTTGATGTGCTCGATATATTCCGTGAATAACTGCGACGGGAAAGTAGTGAAATTTCACAATTCGAAGTCAAAGCTTACGAAAAAAAGGCGGGCAATAAAAGCAACAGCAAGAATGACGCAATCGCAAAAAACACGCACTACATTCAAAAGGGCGCGAATAATAATATTTCGTGCGCTTACCTGGCTAGTCATCCAGCCGGAACCGTTGCTGCGCAAAACGCACTTCGTCGCAGGATCGAATTTCTTCCGTGCGAAGCAGCGAGGATTGGCGGTTTTGCTCACAATGAGGGGCTTGAACATCTGCGAGCCGTCGGCCTTGCACATCAGCGCGACAGTTAAGCGATCCTTCCTGTTTTTGCCGCCACTCACAGGGCTATATGCGAAAGTCATTTTCGGAATCTGGTTCCAAGCGCATCCAGTCTCGTCGTAGTTGAAGCAGTCGCAATGTGCGACGGCGAGCAGAGTGAGCAACTGGGGGCATGCGGCTTTCGTCGTCATTACTGCGCCTAGGTCCTGGTCGTTAGCTTCGCCCTGCCGGTGCCGCCACTTGTATCCCATCCGCTTCAATGCTTTCTGCACCCATCCGACGCTCGCTTTAAATCCAACTGGCACGCCGGCGTCAGGAGCCATAATCCTGGCACGTTATTGGATGACGCTGATGGTGATTGGCAGCCCACCCTTTGCCGCCTGCCCCAACCATGACTTCAGCCGTTGCTCAAGCAGTGGGTAGAAGGCGGAACGCAGACGTCGAGTGGCGGAGCTCTCTGGCCCAAGGGCCTTCCACTTGTCCGCCTCCTTCAGGATTTTCCCTACGATGCTGGGGTCGGAATAAATACCGTATCTCGTGAAACACCACCGAGCGATGTCAGCGAGTCGAAGGTGTGAATGCGCTTCAACATGTCGGCAGATTCCGACCTTCATAGCAATCGTCAGCGATGTTCTCCTGAGTAACCTCATTGTAACCAGATGATTGAGTCTGGCAAAGTAGTTTGGTCGCTGATTAGACGCTGATGTGGTGGAGTGTAAATACGACCTCTGTCGGCCTCCTCAACCGAGGGGGTACGTAGACATGCTCATGCCAGCGCGCACGCAAAAGTGCCAGGTGGACGGGGGTACTAGCGGGCTGTCTGTAATTTTGTGTTCGCTCCCCATGTCCGTCGTGATTACGTAGCCTCGCCCTGGCGAGCTCGTATTGGTTGGGCAATTCCAAACGCAATTTACGGGGATTTCACGAGAACGCACACCCGGGTTGGTTGGCGACGCTCGCACGATGAAATCGCACCCAATTCGGGTGGCGCTATTCAATGGTCGGTGACTCTATGCGACTATGGTGACTGGTCACTATGTTTATTGCACTTTTTAAGCGAAGTCTAACAGTAGATGTATACCGTACAGTCGGAGTACATCGTGGTGGATCTTATCACATTCCGGACCTTGGAGTATTATATGGAGTACAATGTCATGGACCTAATGGCATACCCGCTGTACCCGCATACCCGCTGTATCTCCCGTCCTAGTATTCTTATTTAGAAATTAGAAGGAAGGGTTTGCGCCACATACTGGGGAACAAATTCATATGTTGTTCCGATATTCTCAAATCAACGCAGCGCAGGTCATGTGCTCCGTAACTCCGTTGTCTGCCAGGTCAGGTGGTGCCCTCCAGGTTCTACGGATGTTTTGGCGCTTTCATAACGTGGGGTGTCGTTTTGTTTTGGGACATCCTGCCATTTCAGGGTTTTTCTCGAGTGGCATCTGGAAAGAGGGAGGTAAAACCAGGGAATATGTGAGGCCGACTCCTGATAGGCAGGGAAAATTCTTTGCCTAGCCAGATTGCAGTGTCAAAGTTCCCTAACTCAGTTAGCAAAATCCTGGGATGTGGGTGGGGATGGTGTGGGAAGGACCAATGTCTATGAAGCCAAAAATATCCAGATTGCGGGAGGTATGCGAGGAATGTCTGGTTTGAATCGGCCGAGCATCGATTTGAACAGCAAGCCCGATTTTAGCATGGCCAGAACGAGGATGACCCATTTGTTAGAGAGTGTGACCCGCAAAACACATTTGAATGCCAGATGTAAACTCTCTTGCAAATGAGAGGCCTGCCCGGGCCACAACTCCACACCTGGCCTGGCTGTGGCAGGTGTGGCGGCCAAACCGACTCGCGACTCGCGACGTGCGGAAGCCGCTGGGCAGGCTGGAGGCCTCTGACTACGGCCCATATTCTGAAGGGCAGGCTGGATTCCTTCGAGGCTCATTAACCAGGAGCACCTGCGAAATTTTTGTGCCAGTCGTTGTTGCACCAATCGCATATGACCTGTAATATGAAGCCTCTCATAAATGACGAGCACTTGGCTGTCGTCTTCTCTGCTTCTACTTGCTGTGCTTTCGGCAGGATTAGTTCGTCGTCGTCCTCTCGCAGCATCACTAGCAAACACTTGCTGCCGTCAGCAGCACCTGCAACCGTCCGTTCTCCCCGCGTCCCTTCGCGCCTCGCCCCTATTCGTTCGCCATCATGGCACGAATCGTCATGTCGCTCCGGCCTCTCATCATCGGCGCGCTTCTCGCGCTTCTCGTGTGCTGCGCGGCGGCGCAGCCGACGAAGAGTGAAATGATAAGCGAGCTTCGGAAGCTCCGCAAGGCCATCACGCAGCTCAAGTACCTGGGGAGATACACGCTCATCGCCAGCGCCATAGATCAAGCCCTTCCGAAACTGAGTAAGTGCGCGAAGCTCAAACTTCGAGCTGCTTCTAGAAGAGCCGCACAGTCATGGTATTTGATAAATTTCCGTTTTTTTTTTTTTTTTTTTTTTTTTTTTTTTTTTTTTCCGTTCTACTTGGGTTCCGTTCCTGATGCATTTCGCCCCCGTTTATCCCCGTTTCTATTCCACCATACCATCACAGACGACATTCCCGATGACGAGGACCTCTCCGCATACGACCAGAAGACCGTTCTCATCCCCCAAAACGAGGCGATCAGCACGGCGGGACTCGGCACGCTCGTCAAAGCGGGCGTGAAGACCATGAGCGCAGACAAGGCTATGACGTTCTCAGACAATGGCCTGATCAACGTGCTGGATGGCTACTTCACATTCGATGAGATCAAGCGCGGCACCACCTTCCAAACCATGCTCGGCGCGCGTCGCTTGAGGAAGTACTTCGTGCCACTGGTCATGCGGAAGGGGTCCCCGTACGCGCTCGGGCAGAGCAAAAACGGCTTGTCGTGGTCGCAGATCGTGAATCCGGGGATCTACCGCGGCAAGTACTTCGTCGCGCACGGCGTCGATGCTCTCCAGCAGCCGTGAACCCGCGCGCGCTTTGACACGCCATGCGGCAAGGCTTGAAAGCAACGAACCGCGGAGGCCAGCCATCGGATACATGAACAAGCCTTTTTGTTTTGTTTTGTTGCTTTTCTTCTGAAGTTTGCAATAAAGGCGGATGTAACTACGTTTTGAAATGCCCTACTCCATAGTCTCAGAAGGAATAAATGACCCCGGTCAGGTAGCAAGAACGATTGCTTATGCGTTCTCAATGTCCACAAAATAAAGGATAGTGGAAGAGGTCTAATTATAGGACCAAACATCATGTACATGCCACAAGTTACCATAAGAGGCTTCAGTAGGCATTCCTGGTAGGCCCTTAAATATCATACTTTTTAGGCTGATTTGGGTTTCGGTTCCAGTCCATATCTTGGTAGTGGCTAACGCAAATGATACAAAGGCTTGTGAGGGACCTGTTGTTCAGGAATAAGTCTCAATGGGCAGTTTGCAAATACTGGAAAATCATAGACAAAAAAAAAACAGCCATTGAAATTAAGCAAACCAGGGCTTTAAGGTTGATATCTTAGGCCCTGATTCCTGGCCTCGTAACAGAGGCCTTCGAACAGATGTGTTCGTCTCCGAACTTTTGGGATTGCTTGCAAGTGTAGTAGGCCCTGTTCTGCGGCCACGTTTGACAAGTCATTCGCGCTCAGGAAGCTTCTTTGATCAGTGCAAGTCTACTCATCGAGGCTCGGAGATACGAGCTCACGGCTCGGAGCACGCCAAACCTAGATTGATACATTGTTCAGCGAAAACCTGCAGAAAACCAATGCCCGAATGACGATTTGTCAAACAGGGTGCTTCTGGTAAATTGCACTCAGGGGCAGAGCAGCTGAACTAACAAACAGTGAAATTGGTTGAATAGAGAGAGAGAGTACACAAACATATACCTAAATGTTGTACTCTCTAGAAGATAACCCTATACAGTCTATACAAGCATGATAACTAAACATGTTTGACACACCCCCTGGACTGCATAGGGGAATGTTCTAGACAAGCAGCTCAGGGTGGCACTACTAGTCCAGCCTCTGAGACAAGGGTCTAAAAGACCAGTCAGAAGGAGTACAGGCAAGGCAAGAACTAGTACAGGGCGGCACTACTAGTCCAACCACTGTAAGAGGACACAAGTCCAGTCTGAGTGTACACACAGATATATAGGACAGTACAGAGTCAAGGCCCGAGTAAGTGAGAGACTACAGGAACCAGACCAAGCTGCACACAGTGCCGCTGATGATCTTTAGGCGCAAGCGCCTTCGTAAAGATATCAGCTGTGTTGGCACCGGAGGCTAAGTGTACTACGCGAGCCTGGCGACGCTGCTGTAGCTCACGCAGGAGGAAGTACCGCAGCTGGATGTGCTTCGCTCTGCCCTCGAGTCGAGGCTCCTGACACAGGAGGATCATGGCCCTGTTGTCAGCGTACAGGACCGGGGCAGAGCTAGGCCGCTCACCTAAGTCAGTGAGCAAGAAGGTCAGCCAGCGGAGCTCCTGTGCCGCCATGGCACCGGCGTAGATCTCGGCCTCACAGCTGGACTGGGCAACAGACGAAGAGCGGGTAGCTCTCCACGAGACAGCACCTGAACCAAGGCTAAAGCAGTAGCCCTGGGAAGACCTGAGCGTCTCGGCGTCGTCTGCCCAAGAAGCGTCTGTGTGTCCAGTAAGGACCACTGGCCTGCGTCCGCCTAGCACTAACCCCATGCCCGATGTACTTGCAAGATAACGCAAAACCCTCTTAGCGGCAGACCAGTGCTGAGGTCGGTGCCTGCCTGTGGCCACGAAACGAGCCAGGATGCTGAGAGGGTATGCGAGATCTGGGCGAGTGCAAGTCATCAGGTACATGAGGCAACCCACTAGCTCAGCGTAAGGACCACTGGGATCTACCGACTCCTCAGGAACTGGAGCGGAGAGTCTGTGGTCCAGAGGAAGAGGGGTGGGCTGTGCGGAGGAGAACTGAAGGCCGAACCTCTGAAGGACCTGGCGCACCAAGTGTGACTGAGTCAGGGTGATGGTGCGCGCGGCTCTGTCCCTGGAGATCTGCAAGCCAAGGTAACGGCGCAGCTCTCCAAGGTCAGTGCAGGTGTGTCTCTTCAGCAGCTCTGCCTTCACGGAGGCCAGTGCGTCCCTGTCAGCAGTGGCAAAGACCAGGTCGTCTACGTAGACGAGGATGTAGAACGGAGTCGAGCCAGCACGAACGAAGAGCGAGGGGTCTGCAGAGGACGGAAAGAACTGCAGGTCAGCAAGGGTAGCACGCAAAGTGTCGTGCCACTCACGAGGCGCCTGGCGCAGGCCGTAGACTGGCCGCCGCAGAAGCCACTGGGTCCCAGGGGGGAAGGTGCCAGTAAAGCCCTGAGGGCGACGCAGGTAGACCTGCTCGTGAAGGCTGCCCTGAAGAAAGGCAGTGGAGAAGTCGAGGGAGTGAAGCTCGTAGTCACGCTGAGCCGCTACGTGTAGCAGCACCCGAAGAGTAGTCATCTTCGGGGTAGGAGCGAAAGTCTGAAAGAAGTCCACCCCCTCGCGCTGACTGAAGCCTCTAGCCACGTAGCGCGCCTTGAACACAGGCGGCTCTCCAGGAGGGCGCTTCACCTTGAAGAGCCAACGGCCATCGACCACGTTCACCCCAGGTGGGGGAACTGCGTCGACGAAGGTGCCGGTGGATCTCCAAGATGCCATCTCCTGCTCCATGGCAGCTATCCACTGAGAGGCCCAGGGTCCCGAAACCGCCTCAGCGTAAGTACGAGGGGTCGGGATGTCGAAAGCGTCTGGGTCACCCTCACGGACTAGCAGCATGGAACAGAGATGGGGAGCAGCCTCGGACAGGAAAGCAAGCTCAAACTGGCGGTCCTCCAGGACGTCACTGCCGAGGGCAGGAGCACCCCCGACAGACGGAGGACAGGCAGGGTGAGAGACCAGAGCGGTGGCGTAGTCAAGGCGGCGGGTAGAGGCGAAGTCAGCGACCGCAGCGACGAGGGCGTCAAGACTCGACACGGGAACAGACGGGTCGGTAACGAGAGAGGCAAGGACCCGAGGAACAAGAGGACGAGCGGCACGAAAGGAGTCGGACAGAGGAGGAGACGCAACGACAAGAGAAGACGGAGGAGGAGACGGGAGGAGGGGAGGTCGAGACGCGTGGGAACGGAGCAACATAGGGTGAGAGCGCGGGACAGGGGAGACAGGACGAGCACGAGAGGGGCGGCGAGACCAGACGTGTGAGGGCGGCGTCGGGTCAGGAGACAGAGGAGGGGACACAGGAGGGGAACGAGGGGGAAGACGAGCCGGGGACGAGTCTGGCAGAGGGAACACGGGGCCGTAGACGGGAAGAGGGGGAGACGGCAGGAGAGGAACAGGCGCAGGGTCAGGAGACGGAAGGCCAAGCAGACGGAGGGCGGACACAGGCGGGGACTGCTGCTGCGGCGACACAACACCAACACCAGGGCCACAAGCTGCGCGACGGCTACCTCCCGAACCCTCCACACCTGCACCCCCAGAAGGGACACCCCCAGAGTCCACAAACGGCGGCAGCGACGACAGCGGCGGCGGCGGCTGCAGCGACGGCTGCGACGGCGGCGGCGGCGGAGACGACGGCTGCAACGGCGGCGGCGGTGGAGACGACGGCTGCAGCAGCTGCGGCGACGGCGGCTGCGGAGGCGGTGGAGGAGGAGACACCGGGGGAGGGACAGACGGCGAGGACTGCGCCGGAGGACTACCAGAGTCAGAAGACTCGTCGACTGGGACGACCGACGGGAGGGGGGTAACGTGAGACACACCAGAGGGGGCCGGACGGGGGGGCGGGGGGGGGGGAGGGGCAGGGACCACCAGGGAGGGAGGAACCAGGAAAAGGGGGGGAGTAACCGGGGGACCACGGTGGGGAAAGCGGCGGTAGAAGGAGACGGACTCGTCAAAGGTGACGTCGCGAGAGTGAAAGAAGCGGTGAGACGGCGGGTGGTAGAAGTGCCAGTCGGACGCGTCAAGGGGGAAACCGAGGAAGACGCAGGGGAGGGTGCGGGCAGTGAGCTTGTCCGTGCCAGAGGCACGAACGTGAGCAAGGCAGCCCCAGACGCGGAACGCAGACGCGTCACCAGGGGACCCGGTCCACAGAAGGGTCGGCGAAACCTGCGGCCGCTGGGGGTGCGGCCACAGGTTAAGCTGGTGAGCGGCGTAGCGCACGGCGAACGGCCACAGAAAATGGGGTGCACCGGCGTGGATCATGGAGGTGCGAGCCACCTCCATGACCAAACCGATGCGTCGCTCAGCGACCCCATTCTGCTGCTGGGAGTCCGGCAGGGTAAACGTCTGGGTGATGCCCTCCGCACGACAGAAGCGACCAAGGACACCTGAGGCAAACTCGCCACCCCGGTCGGAGTGAAGGCGCAAGGCAGGGAGACCGCGGTGGACACGAGCAGAGACAAGCCAGGGGATGAGAACGTCAGGCACGTCGGCCTTCCGCTCCAGGGGGAAGACGGTGGTGTAGCGCGTGAAGTCGTCGACAAGCACTAGGAAGAAGCGCTCGCGACGCGGCCCATGGACCGGGGCTGGGCCCCAGACGTCCATGTGCAGAGTCTGCAGTGGTGCGGTGGTAGGGGGAAAAGAGGAGGAGTGAGGGGCACGGCGGAGCCGGCCCTCGACACAAGGCGTGCACGGTGGGGCGGGGGAGGAGGGAAACTCGGGGAACGAACCGGGGAGACCAAGGACGAGACCGTGCTGGGACATGTGACGCAGACGTGGGAGTGCAGGGTGACCAAGGCGGTGGTGCCAAAGGAGAGTCGGGTGAGTGAGGGACCGACAGGAGCACGCGCCTGCAACCTGGGTGGACGCAACTACCGGGGGGGAAGACCCAGCCGGGGACGGCGCGGTATCAAGTGTGAACAGGCCGGACACCGGGTCCCGGGGGAAAGTGGTAAGGGGGGCACCAGTGGCGGCCTCGGTATAGACAGCATACCGCTCGTGACCAGGGAACGTAGTGGTGACGCCAAGGTCCTGGAGGCAGCCGACACCAACTAGGTTCCTGGAGAACGAGGGGATATGCAGACCTGTGAGAGTG